TCTGTCTGTCTGTCTGTCTGTCTGTCTGTCTGTCTGTCTGTCTGTCTAAGTTATTTTGATAACATTTAATTTAATTTTCTTGAAGAATTTATTCAGTTATTAATGTGTATTATTGTATGAAGTGGTGATCTATCTTTTCTATATAGAAAAGTACGATTTTTCAACAATACTACCTTTAAAGAGGCTTTCTAAATCGAAGTTAAATGTGTTCTGCAAAGTGGTAAGCACTGTTGCCTCACAGAAAAGGTCTCCAAAGGTGTGAGGCATGTACAACCTGCTTCAAATCAACTCTGGGGACTGAGGTGGCAGTTCCACGATATTGTCACTGCCACTTTGTGGCAGACTCTTAAATATTTTTCTCTACAATTTTACTTGATATTGATATTGAATGGAAACCATTTTAAGAAGGATACCAGCACTAGCCACACAGCATGATGGAACCTCCACAAATTGTACCGTGGAGAGCAAGTGTTTTTCATGGAAGTCTGTATTTCTTTGCCCTCATCTGTTACTGAGCTAGTTATGACCAAATAATTCGATCTTTGTTTCACTAGTTCCTGGCACCTAATTCCAAATTGATTTGGCTTGTCCAAATGTGCTTTTTGATGCCTCAAGAAGCTGTGTATGTGGCATGTACTCAGAAATGGCTTCTTCTGCATCGCTCTCCCGTACAGCTTGTCCTGGTGCAAAGTACACTGATGGATGCACACTGACACCATTTGCTGCAAGATGGTCTTGAATGTCTATGGAGGTGGTCTGTTGGTTGTTATTTACCATTTTGATCATATATCGCATTTGCCTCACAGATATTTTTCAAGAACTGCTGTTCTTTAAAAAGAACTGTGCCTGAACCCTGCAATTCCTCACCATGTTCCTCACAACAAAAAGTAAAAAAGCTGATGTGGAGGGGGCGTGGCGCTCAGCTGCAGGGGGGAGGGGTGGAAGAGGCTCAGGTGAGCAGTGCCAGGGGAGAGTGATTAAGCACACCTGGAACCGGTTGGCTAATCACTCTCCCCTCTGTAAAAAGAGTAGCATGCTGGACCTGGGGAGGACTGGTTTTGAAGGAGAGCTGGAGCAGGAAACAAGCGACCAGCCAGGACCACAACGGGCAACACGCGGGGAACCAAAAAGAGCCCTAGCCGGGCGTGCGTGAGTGTGTGCGTGTGTGAGAGAGTGTGTGTGCGTGGCACACACACTCAAATAAACATTTGCAGCAACCAATCCTGGTCTCAAGAGACTCTGTCAGGCACCCACGGTGGCAAGACTGCTACAGCTGAAATCTCTGAGAACTTTCCCTAAACCATAATGCTTAACAATATCTGTTCTCAGATAGCTTCAGAAAGCTGCTGATCGAGCTCACCAAACGGATTAATTGGTGTTAAGTAGTTATTGGTGTTCCAATCAGTAAATTCACAGGGATGCTCAGATTTTTTTGCTTGGCACAAAATCACTAAATTATTAACACTAAATGTCTCTGTCTGGAAAAACACCAAGTTTTTAGAAAACGACTGACACGCTACTGCAAGTAGCTGCAAGTCCATTCCAATGGAGCTTCAGAAAAGTGCCCAAACCTTTCCATACTGCTGTAATTAAGTATGTCAGTTTAAAGCGTTGCCAGGTGTCACTGACCAAAATATTCCCATGCATGCTTTATATTGCCATGGTGGTCAGGCAATAGATACCAGAAGAAAGTGTAGAGTTTAAAGTTCATTTCAAGATCAGGTTAAGAAAATAGCAAATGTGGAAACTTACACACCTAATGAAAGCAGAAGACCAAGAGAGGGCTCTTCAGATGCATTTGCATATTTAATATAAATAATAGGCGAGAGAAAACACACTAGAGCCCTAGCAGACAGTGTAGTTGCCCAGTTGAGAAAAAATGTAGTAGATTTATCATTATTAGATTAGACTATGAGATTTATTATTTTTTCCATGTAAGCGACAAATTAGTACATTTGAGCACATCTTCTGCTTTTTATGCCATGTCTTCTTCAGTCTTTTCTGAGACCTTCCAATATTTTATTTCCATACTTTTACCAGATTTCCTCTTTCTAGATTCAAGGTAAACTTCATTATCTTTCCCAGGTTTCTTATCTCCTTTATCTCGTGTCTCCACTCCTCTCTTCATCGTTACCTTTATTCTCTGCCTGATTATCTGACTCGTTTAAGGCAGATTTATCTCTCTCCATCATCCTTTCAATCTGTTCCTGTGCATCTTTAGTTGTTTCGATTTCCTCCTCCATATTGGCACCACCAACTTCTCTCGGTGCCTGTTTTTCCACCTTCCAATCTGAAATGTGCTCTTCCTCTCCCTCTGCCTCTTCCCTCTCCCACTCAACCTCACCACCTATGCTCTCCTCCCTCACCAATGACCCGTCTTCCAGTTGTCCACCATCCGGCAGTTGAGTCTCCAAAGCTTCTACCTCCAACTGCAGCTGCTCCACCCTGGCATGCATCTTGCTGTTGCTGGACTCTAATTCCATCATTAGTCGTGCAAGTTTCGTTTGCAGGATGTCCACGTTGCTCTCAAGTCTTCTTATCTTGGTTTCAACCTTCTCTACCTCCCCCTCCTTTGACTCCACACTCTCCTCCAGCATGTTCATCTTGGTAAGGATCTGTCTGCCTTTTTCCTCCAAGTGACGTTTGGCCGCTGGAAACTCAGACAGCACATCGGTGAGGTCTTCTTTTGACAAACTGAAGAGGTCAGAGTAGCCAATGCTTCGAATGTTGGCAGTGCGACGATTGCCCGATTTGTTGCCTAAAAGGAAACATTTTCTTATTTCTTTAAATGATGATAAACTGTGAGAAAAATATTGATGATGTGTTACTACCAACTCAGTTTGATATCCACTGCAAGCCTGTTTTAGGGAAAGATACATGTATTCCTTTGCGTTTGAAATAAGTAAGTCGTAATAGACATGCAGAGTATATTAAATATATGCCAATTCTAGAATTCAAAAGCTGTACTGTCTAAGGCAAATTAGCTCAATAAACCCTGTTTACTACAGTGTATACATTAATGCATTTCCTAATGCATTTCAAATTTTGACAAATACCTTAATTGAAATGCAATGTCATGATACACATTTGTATGTGAGTATAGGTAGTTACTTAGTGGAGTGACACAGATCAAATAAAAAATACTTACACATTGGTTCTAAAATATTTCCAGCTAACGATCAACAATTCGATTGACATTTAACTATGTTTTTCCTGTAAGGTACCCTATGAGCCATCTGCACTGAGTCGTGTGTCTGGGTTAACTTTAGAATGACTGCAAACTACTTTTCCTTTGGTTTCTAGTTATATTGTCTCTAATCCTCACCTATTTCCTTTTTTCCTGTGTCTTATTTGGGTTCCTTTGTTTTAATCTGGTGCCTGCCTTCATTTCCTGTGTTCTTCCACCTGTGTCTTCTTTAGCTTTACTTCCCTCAGTTCAACTCCACTCCTCACCTGCTCTTCATTCAGTAGACACACTCCTGTCTATATAACCTATTTGGTTAACTCTATCTTCACTGTGTGTTATCAGCAGCTAACCTATTCCATGTTTGATCCTCCTTTCCTCCTGGAGTCCCTTCATCTTTGGCCCATTTTAAGTTTTCTTTGCGTTTCTGTTATAGTTCAAGGAGTTTAGTTTAGTTTTAATCAGTTTTAGTTTAATGTTTTGTGTCTAAAGATAATCTATACCATCCAGCATTATTGCTTTCATGCTTCAATGATCCACCACTGGAGCATAGAAATGAGCTTTCATGAATTTAAGAATATTTCCTTAAAATGAAACAGCCTTACAAATTTATCTGCTCTTGTTGAGAGTTCCCCGCGACCCCATTAGGGAATAAGCGGTAATGATAATGGATGGATGGATTGTTGAGAGTTTCTCATGTTTTATATTTCATCTGATGGCTACAGCCCATTGCGGCTCCTAAATTCGACTGAGATCTCCCATATATTCAATAACATCTTTTCCATATCATCAAACTACAGTTCAGCCAATTCTATTTTTCTTATTAGTAATTTCTTATTAGTAAAATAAAATAATCTACAGCTGTAAATGATTGAGCTATTGGGTCAACAATTTGAGCATTTCTTTACTATGATCCTCTCAGTCTCTGTGTTTTAATGTGTTGCTATTACAATGTGTGTAAAGTACATGACTTACCTTTTATGTTGAGGATACTAATTTCTCCAAAGAAATTCCCAGCACCCAGCACAGCAAATTCCGTCACCCCATCATCTGCAACAACTGCAAGCTTTCCTTCTGTGATGATGTACATTTCGTGACCCACATCTCCCTTCCTGCAAACATACTCTCCTGGACTAAATACCTATAAAATAAAATGCATAGGAGACATACTTCACAAAGAAACACACATGAGAATACATCAGTGATCCATGCTGCATCTGACAATTGCAGGTCCATTACCACTACCATGGTCTGAACAATTTTTATAAAAATACAAATACATCAGTCTGTATCACTTTAAGTAGGAACTAGTATGCCCTGTAAACTTGACTAATTTATAGTTGAAAAGCTTATGTTCTACTAAGGCATTTGAATTAATAACTTTGTAAATTACACTTAGGTTTCAGTGAAAAATGTTGCTCCACTCGGCAACACGACCACTGAAGACAAAACTTTTGTAAGTTGCAGGTGTATTGTCAGTGGTATTAGAGACACAAGCAACCACAGTCAAATGTTCTCCAGGGACCACAGAGGTAATACATTTTCGGTCTTAGCTTCTCTTCATTAGCTCCCAGTTGCTTTCAGAATGGAATTTAAAATTTTGCTCCTCACATGAAAGTGCTATCATATCTTAAAGATCTTATGTAGGTATGTACAAATAACAAATGTCCTTCAAACAAGCATTCCCAAGTTGCTGGTCTACTTGTAGTTCCTGTGTTTGATAAAGCTTATAATAAGGGATGGTTCGAGTGGCCCTACAAGACAAGCTGCTCTGGGCTTGGAAATCTCCGCTTAATGTACATGTAACATTATTACTGTTAACTTGTGTTTTCCCCTCTTCATTAACCTTACACACACTAAGAATGGGGAATTGGGCTAAAAAGACTAATTTGATACAGGCAGTTGGTTTTCCCACATTTGGAATTGAATTCAATTTGAGGGACGGCACGATGGTGTGTTGGTCAGCACCATTGCTTCACAGCAGGAAGGTCCTGGGTTCAAGTCCCTGGGGGAACCAGGACCTTTCTGTGTCGAGTTTGCATGCTTTCCCTGTGTCTGCATGGGTTCTCTCCGGGTTCTCTGGCTTCCTCCCATTGTCCAAAAACCTGCATGTTAGGTTGATTGGACATTCTAAATTGCCCTTAGGAGTGAGTGAGAGTGTGTGTGTGTGTGGTTGTTTGTCCTTGTGTATCTTAATATGTGTCCCTGCGATGGACTGGCGAACTGTCCAAGGTGTACCCTGCTTCTCGCCCATTGATTAATAGGCTCCAGTCCCCCTGCGACCCCATTAGGGAATAAGCGGTTATGAAAATGGATTGATGGATGGATTAATTAAATTAGATCGAAACCATTTGATTACCTTATGTTGTCAGGTAAATACATTTGATTGAAATAGCGTTTTAGATTAGATTAGATTTAGTTTTGGTCTTATATCAATCTAATTTAATTCAATTTAAACTGCTGAATTATTTCTAATAGCGACTGGCATCTTTGTTTTTCCTGACCTGTGGTGTTAGTTTTAGAACCAGCTCCTCCAGCAGACTTGTCTCGCAGTTCTGGAAGATGGTGACTTTGGAGAGTGTGGGCAGGTGAACACTAACAGCAATCTCTGTTCTCATATGTAAAGGAAGATGCAGTAGGATTTCATTCTCCCGCATAATCTTCTTGTTGATGTGAAGGTGCTGATACCAGTTGTCAATGCGCTGCCGAAGCTCCTTGCTAACGTGATGGCTACGCAGGTATGCTTTCACCTGAAATAAAGAAGAGCTTTACTTCACATCAGATTTGGCCAAATAAAGGTTTTCTTCTGTTCTACAATCCAGAAATTACCAGCTCATGATTTGGGAAGAAGACGTTGTCACGGTCCCTTAAGCTTGTGATGACATTCCCAACGTTACCAACAATTGATGCAAAAACCAGAACAGCAATGAGCAAATCTGCAATCATAAATAAGTACTCCTCCTCCCTACTTGGCAGGGGGGTATCTCCAACTGTCGTGAATATCTGAGCTGAGAACCAGAAGCAGTAAAAGTACTGACGGCGCATGGAGGCAAATGTGGTATTTGTGATATTTGGGTAGACCCACCTATCACTCCCAAAGCCAATGTAACTGGACAATGCAAAGTACAGACAAGCATTCCAATGAATCAGCACAAAGATGTAGATCATAAGCTTTGTGATGCGGAAAGTATTTGGGTAAGAAGATCTTGTCTCCATGCGATCCAAAGCTTCATTCAGTCTTGGGATGCGTAGAAGACGGTTTACCCTCACTAAAGAAGTTTCAATGCCAAAAGCAAAATAGAGGAAGTCTGATGGCAGCAAGGAAGCTATGTCCCATAGGAAATGTTTAGAGCCCAGGTAACGCTTCCTTAACTGAGACAGGTCTGTAATCAGGATGCCTTGATCCATGTAACCTGAGGGAGGATAAAAAAGGATGAACAAAGCCCAAAGCATTTAAAATCTATGTAGATGGTCATTTCAACTTAAATTAAAAAAACATTACTACGGTACATGAAATACAGCTCAGATTCTCCAGCAAGAATCAACTAAAATCTACTTCTGGAAACAAACATATGTTTGATGTTGTGCATTGAACCTTATATTTAACACATTGTTATGTCATTTAATGGCATAATTAATCTGGGGGATGACTTCAACTCCATTGTGACACAACACATTATTCCTCTTGGCATAGCTTCTTTTGTTTTTACTTTTGAAGTTTCATAAGAGTGCTAAGGTATTGTGCGAAGTAAGTATTACACTCTATTCCACTGCTTTTTTATTTTCCCCTGTCTTTTGGAGCATGGTATTCATATTAGAAAAAGGAATAAATGGTCACAAGACAAAAAAAAAGGCATTTACCAGAATGAAGAGTGATGATCATATCTACTGTATACATTAGATCTGACAGATAGTCCAGAAAAAGCCACACAGGAAGGTAGCTCTGTGCAATTTCCCTGAAGCAAGTCCTGGAAAATATGACTAATTAATTCCGTTTTCAGAGGATTGCATGTTTTAAGGTTGGATATGATTACTATATGACAGTCATCACAGCATCATTTACCTTAAAATAATGATCACCCAGTTATAAACAATGGGTACTGTCATCACCTGTAGCCAGACATAATAGAACTGCTCTGCTGGATCGACCACCCACTTTCCCCACCTTTGAGAGAAATCAAAAGAAAGAATTAAAACGAAAGAAACAGTAAGGAAAAACTTTTCATTTGCACCTTATGGTTTCCACATCTACATTTCTGATTACCTCCATTGTAGTACCAACATCTGCTAGAGCATATGAGCTTAAATCTTTTTTACATACTGCATATGACATGTTGTGAAACATCTGACTGAATGGGATACCATACATTTTTTTCACAATCTATCTTTACTGAATGATCTCACTAAATAAGATTAGGGTAATTTTGTTTCCAGAATAGGTAATGTCAGTGTTGTCACCCGCTATTGGGTGTTTGCAAGTTATAATGAAGCGGGAGTTATCCTTGTAATTGCCCAGGTTGTACATTTTAGCGATACTGATAATGCCTTACCTATTGAGAAATAGGTTTTATAGGAATTAATATATACATGGATATGTTAACACTCCTTATAATACCACTATCAAACATCTGAATAAAAAGTCATAGTCATCACAGATGCGTTATTTCACTTGAAAGAAATATTGTCATTAATTACTCACTTCAAGTTTAACTTAAGGTCCAGGTAGTTATGCTTCCTTTTTTCCGCGACATTATCTTCTTCTCCCACATTAATTTGCTGCTCATAACAACACCTGAGTAGTCTAAGCCACGGGTTTCTTCTGACAACGCCATTACCCTGTTTATCCATTCCTGAAACTTGCAGCTTAGATATATGTCTCAGTGAGCATGGTCAAAGCTTTGGTTATAAGATTTCCTGAAGCTCGTCAGATGCAAAAGGTACAGTTTTGCATAAGTGCTATGTTTGGTCTGCCGGATAACAAACCAGGTCTAGCTGAGCACTGCCTAGTGATTTGGTCTCCATGGAATGACACAACAGATGTCACAAGTGCTTTGGGAATTCTTGTATCACCTAGAAAACAAGAGGGGTCCTTCTCTGTCCTTTTGAAATTTTGAGACACAGAAAACATTGACTGGAGGATTGAGACCATACAAGAGGATTGGTGCCACAGTCAGCAAAGTATTGAAGACACTTTAACGTCAAGCTTTTTAATTATACATGTATCCTCTTGTGTAAAACTGTTAGATTGGAAAGTTGAAAATCGAGTTAAATAAAAATTACCTTTAAAATGTAAACACTTTTAATTTAACTAAACTTAAATTGAGTAGTTTTTCTTATTTAATGTGTTTTTTAAATTTGCCTGTGTTTTCTAAAGATGCTCTGCAACGAGCTGGTGCAAAGTTAATGCAAAGTTATTTTTGCATTAGATCAAAAGCCAACACCATTTCGTCAAGTTTTTATTCTCTACAGACAGGGTAAGTCGGTATTCATTTAAAGTTAAAATGAACCTCCAGAATGAACATGTATTAACCCACTCCAGCTCTGACTGACAGACAGAAACACAACATTTGAGGGATTTCGGTGATTGCTCAGCACAATTTCCAAGCTCTAACTGAGACAAATGTTGAAAGCAGTATCCCTTTCATATTAAAGAAGCTGAGAAGGATAGCCGGATCCTTTATTGGTCTTTTTTAAGGTTCTGAATGTCTCAGAAACATCAACTGTATATCCATGGAATGACACACAGAGTATGCACAATGACTGGGTCTGCACACATTTTCATCACCTCTAAACTCTATGCTGTTCTGATTTCAGAAATGAAACTTAGAATTTAATTTAAAATTTATCTTAAAATCTTATCTTAAAATTTAGATATAACCATGTTTTTAAATTAACATGAACAATTTGACTCTACTTGTCATGATTAGACTTGGCTGGGGTGTTTATTTTGTTCTTCTGAATCTTTAGTGGGAGCTGAGCTGAGCAGTTTTAGGAAGTCCCTGAAGGAGTCTGGCAGTTCCTACTTTCACATGTGCTCCCATGCCCTCTTTAGGGCAGGACCAGCACTCTATGCTAAATTGTGTCAATACCGAAAGTGTCCACTTTCTTATCGATTTCCAATATTCTCCAGGGATTTCTTTGACCTGTGGTTCACTCTGAGATTACTAACCTGCACAGTTGACCCGCCACACGCTCCTGCCTGCTTGTCCAACCGCTGAACTACTGCACAGCCTGGAAACCTTTCCTTCCACGCTGGATCCCCTCCTGGACTCTGTAAGAACTGAAGATAATAAATAAAAATAAGCTGTTACTGTCATATAACAGTGAGAATGGTAATCCGCTGAAAAAGTGGACCCAATGTTTAATTTTATCAGAACAAAACTGACAGCTAAAGACCATTTAACGAGAGACTTCCCATGAAACAGGTCAAAGCTTAAATAAGTCACAGAACTTAATCCTTGAGGAAAAAAATTGAGGAATTTTGAGCAAGGGTAACTTTTCAAGTTTTGGAACACATGTTTGTGTTGCTTCCTATTGGGAAGTTGGAAAGTATCCCTCTGAATTACAAGCCTCTAGTTAAAAAAGCTCTGATAACTGTGACAGCTACATTTTGAGACAGGCTTTCCTGTGTTAAAGATTGTAGAGTTTATTTGCATTTCTCGACTCATCACTTGGCACTTTCACATTAACATTTTGTCCCATAGGCTCATAGCTCATAAATGGTTAAAAATATTAAGATTTTTCAAACTTTTTTATTTAAAGAAAAGAAGAATGTTTCATATAGCTGTGCAATTTGATAACAGTTAAATGTCCTGAGACCAATTTGAAAGTTGAGTAATTTCTACATCTGAAATAATTCTGAATTTAGATTTAAAAGAGCTCAAATTAAACAATAAGAGAAAGGAGGACGCGCAGAGATTTAGTTTGTGACAGAAGTGAATGCTGGGCCATCTCTGCTCTCTTTACTGACATAGCAAGCAGGCGAAAGATAGTAAAAAGAAAAAAGTTTCGCAATATATTGATTTTGCTGAGAAAAAAAGTGTTGAATATTTTGCGCTTCTTAACAGACATTATATGGGAGTTGTCATTGATATGTTTGCATGGCTATATTCTTAAAAACTCTTAAATAAAATGTCTTATTCTTTGTTGCTAAAAATGTTGGGCAATTACATTGCTCACCTTGCCGTGTCATTTTTATCACTCCACAGCCATCATGTGCAGCATTTGTTGGACGTCGTGTGGGCGGGGTTAAAATAAGATGGCTGCGGAACAGGGAAGATGGTTTGAGAAATGGTCAAATATTTTGTTTATCCGTCGCTAGGAGGATGCACAGTGTTCCCGGTGAAGGAGTAGTTGATGTCTCTGCCTCCCTGGTTCTGTTTTGTGCGGCTCACTGATTGTGAGCGGCCTCTCAACGGCTTGCTGGTCTGACATTGTGGAATTCACCAGCAGCTAGTCGTTAGCAACACACTGTAGCTAACTTATGAGCAACCAGCTAATAAGAGCTCTTCGAGGAAATCTGCACTACCCGACAACAGAGACCGAGAAATATCAGAGGTATGTGTTTTTTCAACCTATCATATTTAAATACAAAGTTTTCAGGCGACGTGAACCAAGTCAATGCACAAGTGACATTTCTGAAGTTGCGATTTATTTTTTATTTTCCAACTAGCTAGCTATGTAATTTCGTCATTAAATATGTGGTTTTCCGACCATCTCCAGCAAGTCGCTTGGGGTTGACACGTCTGAGACGTTATGCAGGTCGACGACTGCCAAATCAGATGTAGTATAAGCAATACGTATCTGTACTAATCTACCGAAGTACTGGAGGTGTATGTGTGAAAAACTATTTAGAGGGACACATGATCTTAAGATTGCGATGTTCATGCAGTAAATTCAAGGGTCCAGTTCAGTCGTTGGTCCAAAAAACACAGACACCCTTCCTCCTGCTGTCTCTTAACTCGGTTTCCCATGTTATTATGAATTTGCTAAACATCTTCTAGTCTCATAGTTAGTTAACGGCTAGTGAAATGAACAGATTAAAAGATGGCAGTTGTTCTAGATCCGTGCATGGTTTTTAAACTGTGTTTTGGATAAACTCATTGGTGAAATGTATGAAAACTTCTCAGCCTGAGATTGATCAAAAAGGACAGATATTACATTTCATGGAAATGCCAGTTATGTGTGGTGCTAGTCTGCATGTAGAATCTACCATCTATCAAATCTTTTTACTTTTATATTCAACTTTTAAAATCCGAAAGCAAAATAAGACATGTAAGGACGGTTATGCATGTGCTCTGTCTGTTTTAGTGTATCTAACATCTCACATTAAAGCAGGTGTGGCTTGGAAATCCATTGCCCAACATTTCAGTCTGTCTTGAAGTATGACCTTTAGACTTAGTCGCCTGAGCTTATAAACAGTCAGGCCTGAGGTATGATGTGCTTGATTACTATTGTTTTACCTGACATCTTTACACAAGCCCTTTTATGGAATCTGTAGTTGATCTTTGGACTCCCTTTATGGGTTTTTTTGATATTGTGTGTTCTGTAAATGAAACCTGCCCTTAATTTTGTTTCATACAATACAGTTACATATAATACATATAATACAGTTCATAACAACAGTGTGTTACGTGCGCACCGGCTGACCTACACTCATAGTAACTGCAGCAACCGTGAGCCATAAAAAAAGTGCATTGCTTGTTAAGTTATTTCCTTTTTGCTTTAGATATTTTTTAACTTGAGTTTCTTAGGAAGTTCCTAGTCAAGAATTTTCTTAGCAGTCGTCATGCCAATCATTAAGAGTACAGCGTCAACAGGTTTTTAAACATTATTGTACAACTGCAGAATAAGAAATGGAAGATTGAGACTTATTTGAACAAGGAAAGTCCATCCACATGATATTACATCTGTTCCTTTGTCTGACCTAATTGTAAGTCATACTAGGGTCGTTCATATTATGCAGCCCCAAATAAGAATAGTCGTTGTGATTCACTTTATTATTTATTTACCTATGTAAATATATTGGACCTCATTTGACTCAGTGTAAAGGATAGAAGAATCTTTTTTTTTTAAAGTGAATTCAATGTGAAAGATTTCAATCTACTCTAGCAGCCACCCTTTTTGTCCAATGTCTGTTCTTCAGATATGGCTTTGAAATAATGCTTATAAGTTGGGATTTACAGCTCTTGAAGAAGAACCTATTATGGGTTAAGGAAACAATAAACATGCTTTGACTTTTATATTTAGAGGAAAGAGGGCTGTAGTTTTCCACTGAAATTCAAAAATGTATCCTTGGTGACTCACTGTAGAATCTTATTTATTTTTGTTATGAGTAGAAACGCTCGAGCTCTTCTCCACCAATATTTTCAGAATATATTTTTAGGTTTTCATGTTAATATTTAATATTTAATTGGATGTCTCACTTGTCTCCACAGTGCCCGTCCACACCGACTATGGAGTGGAGTTGGCTTCCAACTGGATGACAGCATCCACAGGGAGGACAGGGACACACGGTTTCTAAATCAGCAGTGCACTTCCTCTTGACTTACTCTGACATTGACAGCCCCGTCATCAAACCCTCCTCTCCTTCTCCTCTTTTGCATTTAGATAAACTATTACTTCATTCTTAGCCCACTCGTCTTCACGTCTACATCTTTTCCTTCTTGATTTCTTTCTTTTTTTATTTTCTTTCTGTCTGTTACTACTTTGGTCTTTGACATTGTGAGACCAGTCCACCTGCCTCCCACCAAGTTCAGTATGAGCTGGTTGAGCAGGCTGAACCCACGGGGTCCAGGGAGTCGGTCTAGTAGGAGTGCCACTCCTTCCAGCCCCCACACAGCTGACCCAGAAACCTGCCTTATGGTGTTTGAGAATCACTGGAGACAGGTGAGCTGGAGATCCACCTGCCTAATGAGTTTTGACAAAAACCTGCAAACTAAAGTTTGACACAAATAATTTTACCCCTGTTTTTAAAACCCTGAACGTTAAGACATTTATGCTAAGCAGAGCTTACAGTTAGGTGTACAGGATATACAAACAGACAGTTGGAAGACATTTGTATAGTAGTTATTTGAGATTAGTATGTGTGTACTTAGAAAAAAAAAGTTAAAACGTGTCTGCCTTCATATTACATCAGTTGTAAAGTTAAATTAACTTTAAGCAATATGTGTAGAAATATTGCATACCTTTTATTGTGTAATTCTATAGTAATACATCCCCAGACTGCATACATTTTTTTTATCTAATAAAAAAATCATGTTAAAATTAGTCTCTTACACCCTTAGATAAAAGGAGTGACTCTAAAATGCACTCTACCAGTGACTTGTATCTTAGGAAAAAGTGGTTAGTGAGGTGAAGGTTTAGTTGCTTGACTGGGAGAGTCAGTATTACACCGTTGTTGCTAATTTGATAGCCAGTTCAGTTTCATGTATAAATAAATCACAGCATATGTCGCATTTGAAAGATATAATCCACTTAAGAGTCTAATCAAATAAAAATCAATGTGATTGTCATATAGACACAAAACAATAAACTCCAATTAATTAAATTCTTCAAAAATTAGTTTCTAACATTTTGTTGAATTAATAAGCAAGTAACTCACAGCATTGATCAAATGAGAATTGAGATTTTTGTGCTTTTAGAAAATAACAATGGCTACTACTCAGTCTCTTGAAATGATATTCAAATCAATAAGTGTAACTGAAACAAATGTTTGGTCAGGGCAACATTTCTTTAGTCTTGTTAAAAGTTGTGTTTTTAGTTTGTGTCTGCCACTGTAAGCTCTTTACTGTTGTCATGTTCAGTATAATGGGACATGGTAATGACAGCTTAATTAATTAAAGGTCGTTTAACAAAAACAACCTCGCAAAAGGAATTTGTAGAATAGGTACCTTCTACCAACGTAACGGCTTTTAGCTAATTTCTTACTGATTAAGTGGCAGTACAGTGCAATTATTTGTTGCGAAACGCTTACCAAATTTGTTCCAGCAATGTTTTGGGGTGTCAGCTAGCCCACACATTGCTATCTCATTTTGAACCACTTCTGTTTTCACAAACTGCAAAGTAATATTTACTGCTTGGATAATTCTTTGTCATATAATTTTACTGTACAATAGATGGATAGATGGATAGGGTTAAGGTGTGAAAGTATGGGAAGCAATGACGCAAAAATGTGTATCTTTTATTTAATTTGCCATTTTATTAGATATGTAGGCCAGATTGTGTTTTTTAAACTAGCAAAACATAACCTGCTCAATATTTTGTCAAGTCTTTACTTTCCCTTTTTCAAATTTTTTAGCAGTAGGTGTTTTTGCTTTTACTTTGTTTATTTTCTGTGTGTTTTCAGTGTCTCACAATCACACTAAATCCCCATTGTGTTTCTTTACTCAGGTTTCTTGGGTGTTGGAGCAGCACGAGACTTCATCCTCCAGTGATGATCTTACCGCAGTGAGAAACAACACTGACCAAATGTTATGTCTGCTGGCCGAAGAGCGCCCAGCCGAGAGCCCAGAAAGTGGCTCAGGCATGGCACCCATGGGCCCAATTCTGGAGCTTGTGGTCACAGAGAATATTCTGGACCGCCTAGTTCAGTGGCACCTGAGTCGTGGCTTGGATCCAGACAGCCAGGGGGCTCTGCTCAAGCTGTTTGAGATGCTCATTGGCCAATCCCAGCAGCCTTTGCTGCAGCACACAGCTATCCTCCACCCGCTGCTTAGGCTGCTCGGAGCATGTGCCAGCTCAGAACTCAACTGTTCGTCGGCCCTGGAGAACAGCCTAGTGCTGCTGCTTAACCAGGTAAGAAAATGATCAGTTTCCATTCACAATATTCTCCACAACTTTGCTCTTTGCCTATAATGTTCCGTTAGGTTGTTCCATAAAGGGATTATCCTACAAATTTTGTGTTGACATCATTTAGGAGAATAAACTAGGTTTATTAATAAAATATATTTTATATATATATACTCAGTGTTTAGCTTTCCAAAAAATGGCAACAATGTATCAAACAAAAAAAAGTATTCAATGGCATCATATCAGTTTAAAGCACTGGATTAGACCTTGTGAAATGCCAGCACGTTGTGGAGCAGATTGGTTCAGGCAGATTGAAAAGCAGTATTTCTAGTTTTATGATCGTCATGTCATTCATTCAATGTTTTGTTTTGTTCAATTTGAGTTTTGGTTTAAGTTGTCTACGACTTCAGATTTCCAAGTTGAAATGGTACCTTGTGTAAATGACAATCGCTTTTTTTAATTATTCCTGTGTCTTCAGTAGATTGGTCTTGTACTGTTTTATTAGATCTTTTCTCTATCTGTTCTTCAAAACGTTGACATTTTCCTTCAGGTCTGTGTCCTCATGGCTCGGCAGCCAGTGGTTTTAGAAATGTTGCTTCGGGCTGCCCCAGCCCATCAAGGCTCCACCAACCTGCTGATTTTCTCCCTCCTTGTGCCATTCATCCACCGAGACGGAGCCATCGGACAACAAGCACGGGATGCACTGCTGCTTGTAATGGCGGCATCAGCCAGTAATGAGAATGTGGCACAATACATAGCTGAGAACTCTTACTTTTGCCCGGTGAGTTGTGAAGGTTAGGACGACTGTGTTTGGGGTTGTGGTAGGGAATATGATTGCATGCCATTGACTCCATTAACTAAGTATTTCTACTTAAACCAGAAAACAGGACAGCTATATCCTGTTTTCTGGTTTATTTTTGTCCTGTAATTATAATCTTGACCAAAGGGCACATTTGGTTCTATTCAAAACTATTTAGAACTTTTTGGTTTGCTTTCCCACTTCATAATAGGAAAAAACAACAACATTCATTTTCCCTGTCTTGAAGTAAAACCACAATAGAAAAATACATTATTAATCTCTTTGATTTTGACTGTTTAATATCCTCATACTTTTTGTATTATTATCCTACAAACAATACTACAGTCTCCTCTAAAATCCAGCCCCTTTAAACCCCATGTCAAATACTTCACCTTGTAGCCAAGTTAGACACTGAAGTCAGTATGATATACGTGTGTGTATGATATAAAATGTTTGTGTGCATGTTTCTGGTCTCATTCAAAGCATTCGTGATGGAGTGTTATAATAGAGGGGGAAGGAAATGACTATGCACTCTGTGACAGACTTGGTATTCTTATCTACACTCCCCAACATCTGTCATAACCAGCTGTCTAAACTGTTGTAACAAAGCTTCTTAAGAACATCTCAAAACCACTAAACCTAAGAAAACATTTGCATGTTCAAAAAGGGTTTGGTGGTATGATTAAAGACATGGCCAGACCACAAACTGGCCAGACAAGGTTAAGAAAATAAATGTTAAGTTTCATGATTAATGTCTCTCTGTAGGTGCATTTACAATAGATTCTTGGTTATTGAAGCACTTTGCTTTAGAACTTTGAGAACATTTTAGAACTTTCAATGTTCTCAGTGGGAAGACTGGGTACAGCACTTGTAAGAAGATGTTAATTGACTCATGAATAAACTGCTTGATACTTTAAGTGTTTAACCTGGAAAAAAATATAATAATGGAGAGTGAAATATATAGATTTCATAAATATTTGGACGTAGACACAATTCTCAATTGTGATGGTATTTACAGCCACCACAAATTTAATTTGAATTTAAACAGAACAAGATGTGGTGAGATAGACATGACGATAGATAGATAGATAGATAGATAGATAGATAGATAGATAGATAGATAGATAGATAGATAGATAGATAGATAGATAGA